TTTCTTCCTAGTGTGTCTTTGTTTGGAAGCTCATCTGAAACCTGTCCACCATGGGTGACCCTGCTGGTTATTTAAAATACCGGTGGCATAGCCCTCAGAATCACAGCAATTCAAACCACCACAGCACGACAGACGAGTGGCAGTTGCGTGGTTGCTGTTAAATAGGAATCTCCTTGTGCTAGGGCCCTTAAGTCTGGCTCAAAGGCGGGATGATTTCCATCCTTGGATGTCAATCAAGAGGCGGGAGCGCAGCAGGGGCTACTGGGTTGTAGTGATACTCTTTGGGCTGCACTTGTGGGTCTCTAAGTTGGTCGACCCCACCTCAAAGCTGCGATCCAACGGTTAAGCTAGGACAGTGCTCTCGCGTCCGGGTTAAGTAGGACAGCCTGGTCAGCCCCTGCAGTCTCTTCCTGCTAGGCAGCGTATCCCCATCGACCTGGTCTCCAGACACCTCTCACCCTGCCTCTCCGTGGTCTGGGTTTCATTTAATACCTCCACTAGGTCTGCGCAGTTCTTGCACATCGTTTAACGGCCGCCCTCCATGATAGAAGCCCTTGTGCATAGCATCTTGTAACAGCTATACTTAATTCACTAAGACCATTTTCAACATTCAGTGGAATATTTCTTTTCTTTTTGCAAGCTTATGCATATAAATACCTATAATATTATTACATTTTATTTGTTTACCCTGAGAAAAAGGAGTAGAGAATATCAATCCAAAAGCAATGGTATTTAGGTGCCAATGTCTAAAATTCTACAATGAGATATTCATTAAATTTATATAGATTCATGTCCTATGTTAAATTTAAAAGGTCGCTATGAGTAGTGTTATGTAGAAGAAAGTCCTTAGTTTTAGCAGATGTACACTAAAATATTTAGAAGTAAAGTACTATACCTCACATGACTCATTCAATCACTTATATATGACAAATTAACTAGTAAATATTGAAGGAAATGAGTGGCCATCTTTCTTTTCTGTACTCATTTCATGAACTTTTAATAGGCAACATTTATTCAAAGCCACTTCAATTCATATGCCCCTTAAAGTCTTCACATCTTTTTTTTTTTTAAATTAAATGTTTTTATTTTGGATTGAGTGAAAGTTTACAGGGCACATCATCAGCTTCACATTCAACCATTCATATA